CTCCTATATGATATGGGGTATATGAAGTAATTTATTCAGTTTTGACAAAGCTTATCTTCAGCATAATAAAGGTTTGGTGTTACTAGTGTTGTCAATGTTTGTAGGTAAAAAAACCACAAAAAAAACAGGGCTGGTTGTGAGGTTTTAATTAAGGTGAAAAGTTTAAGTATACGTAAAGGAAGCTTCTATTATCAAACAGGACATAAGTCAAGACTAAAGCAGGGGGAAGTTGTGGCATAGGTGAGAGAGGAAGGAGAAAATTGAACAACCTACAACACCAACAAGGGTTAATCCAAAGTAAAGCCTCTTTACCACTGAAAATAATGCTTTAACTCAGGTTTTTCCAAACATGGGTCAACCCAATAACTGGCATTTGGCTCCCTTCCCACTGGCATAAAAAGCTGTGTCTAACCCCTAGCTGGCAAGCTGTGGCTTCTGTCTCCCCCCAGCTGCATGCCTGGTGACACTATCAAATTGGGTTAGTGTTGAGGATGTCACAAGTGTGACAGAAATCAAGAAAGTAAACAGTGGAGAACATAGCCAGGGCGTTGTAAATGTGGTTTATTGTTTTGCTCTTTTATATTTCCATATCGCTCTCACCAGAACTGCACCATGTTTACAGAGTTGTTTTCAGCTTGTTATATCAGAAGCGGCTGGTAGTGTGTGTTGACCTCCTTATGTTCCGTTCAATAGTGGGTCAACCCGGGTCTACGATTTTAACGCAGGTCACTTGCCAGGTGTTTTGAACCAGGCAGACACGCATCAGTGAGCTGTTCCCACTGCCACTAATAGCTGATTGTTTATGGGTTTAAATGGGCATTAAATGTGCATTTGTTCTGTTTAGCTTGGAACCCCAAAGTTTCATAGACTTAGAATAGTAAAATCCATTAGAAAATAATACTGTTTGTTCAGGCATCTGCTGGGGGATTTCTTGGTATTTTTTCTGAGGATTTTATATAGCTTATATCAATAACAAGAAATATATAATGACATTAGTTTTGGCCAAATTGTCCAGCCCTAACTTGAGCTATAAACAATCAGATTGCAATATTACACACATTAATTATGAGAAGAAAACCAGTTAAAATGTTATACAGCCAATAAAACTGCCTGTGAACCACCTGAAAAAATACTTCTTTGGTTAGCCCTCTGCCAAACAATCCGATTGTCCATCAAGCACCAAAGCAAAGCCAACTTTCAAATTATCTGTATGTCAGTGAAACTGAACCATTGATCCAAGCACAGAAAGAGACCTGCAGAGTTTAACATGTTACCTGTGAAGGAGTGAAACCCGACATCCTGAAGGCAGAATGAACCAAAGGGACTTCAGCTTTCAGCAGCATCTCCACATAATGAGCCGTGCACCAGTAGACAGGAGTGATTCCTGATTCAGCCACTTTCTGAGGAAAATGGACCTTTCAAGACAAAAAAAAAAACAACAAACCCTATTCATGAATAACAATTTTTTTACTTGCTGAGACAGACATAAGAAGTTTAGGTTGAATAAAATATTTAGAAATGTTTTTGTGTGTAGGTGTATTCTCATGTGTGAAGGTTAATCTGTGTGTGCTCGACAGAGCTGAACATTTTATAAAAGTGAACAAGAAACGCAATGACAAGTTTGAACCTACAGAATCTGTGACCAAATAAGGAATAACCCACAAGATAAAAGCTGTTTTTTCTGTAAGATTTTAGAGCTATTGAAAGTAAACGTCACTGGGCAATTATTCCCCTGAGGCCATTTTTGTTTCTTTTTAAATACATCATCTTGTTCTGTCCTCTGTTTAGCATTTTCCTGTTGTAAACATGTCTAGTTTTTACTTTTGTTGTATAACAAAAAACTGAATAAGACTGAAAGTGGTCACTTGCAAATATCAGTAAGGCCCTGCCTAAGGTTGAGTTGTGCTTAATTCACGTATAATTCGAGCAAAACATTAGCCGCCCATCACAGCACATGCATCTTTAAACCCTGTGTTGCTTTTCCCCAATTCAGGCCGGCTCCAGTGGAGCGTGTCAAGCACAAACGGCAAGCTTGCAACCTCACATTACATGAGGATGTAAAAAACAGCTGATTAAACCTTTATCAAAGCCTCTTCCTGTGGTCAAAGAGCTATTGTTACGAATATTCCTTGACATGCATTACAGAAATTATATCTGTATAGACGCCACGTAAATTATGCAATTTGGCTACATGGACTTTGCAGACATGTCAAGTACAAACCAAGCTTTAAGAATAAATAGCTGCATCCTTTAGTGGAAAGGAATTTTTTAAGCTCACAATATAAATTACTGGAATGGAATACAAACATGATTATGAACATAAATCACATACCGGTATTTGTTTACATTTCAAATTAGAATATTTAATCATAAATAATTCAAATAAAATTTTTTTTTATTTGTTTATTGTCTAAATGATAAAATAAAAAAAATAATTAAAGTATATCGACAACAAGGTGAAGTGACATCAGCAAAAGGAAAACCTGCAACAAACCTTTCTCATGTAATAAAGGCTTCATCTTATACTTTGGAATGAGACTGAAAAAAGAAATGAATTCACTTTTAGTAGCTACTGTATATAAACAGCTTGTGAATACACAATTTATATGCAACCCATATTGAATGTGTTTGGAAGACTGACAGGAGTTTCAGCGTTCCCTCTTTTCTTCAACATATTTCCACTTTATTCTTAATACTTCAACTTATTCTTTAAATTAGTTTTTAAACTTCATTCTCAATACCTTATCTTAACTCTGTTATAAAGAATAAAAGTCCATCAAAAAAGTCGTTTTTCTCCACCATGTGATGCTGTGTAAGTTGCTGACAGATCTTTAAAAAGAAAAACTGTTTGCACACGGTCTTCTAAACGTACCTGTCCTTTGACCTCTAATAAAGGAGACTAGATAAATTTGAAGCCTTTTGTTCTAGGAACATCTAATCTCACACTGAAAACTTTGAATTCAATTTAAGCTGTAATTTAAAAAAATTATACTGTAAAGTAAAAAAAAAAAACTTAATTGCTGCCAAATACAAATTAAAAATGTCTTTATTTAAATATCTGTATTTAGAAAATATTGTGGACTTTTAGTTGGTGACCCATGACTTCCTGTTTGCTTTGAGTACAACCTGAGAATGCAACCAATTCCTCCAACAAGTCTAGAAAAAGAAACATAGTTATCCTTCCAGAAAACAAGATGAGGATGGTAGTACAGAAGGCAAAGCTTGTGGATGCTATAAAAGTGTTAAAAGAAGTTTGGAAAATTCGGAGACTGACAGAAACTGTTTTGTTTGTTTAGATGAGTCTAAGCTGATGCCTTCCAATCAGCAGTTAAATAGTTGAATTATACCTGAAGCTGAGGGGGGAAATGTGAAAATGCTGCCCGGAGCATGTGGACTCAGCTAGAAGGATCAAAAGGGGTCAAAAAACTGGTCCTTTAACTGGATAATAATCCAAAACAAGTGCAAGAGAAAATAAAAACTACTTTTCTGGCGTAAAATCGACCTCATGTCATTTTGCACCATGACTCTGGGCACTCTGTGCAAAAAGGAACAGTAAAAAAAAAAAAAAAAAACCCTCACTCCATTGCTTCCAACTTGTTAAATATTTACAGGGGTAATCTAAATTTCCTGTTGGTACAGTATATGGAGGTTAGTGTTAAGTAATTAATACTGACCTCCATGTAGGTACTTGCAAGGCTTAAATAAACTTAAAAAAGCAACCATAATTACGTTTTGACCTAATTTAATTCACAGGTACAGCTTGACTTGCTTTTCGTTGGTGAATTTTCTCAAAGGTTCCTACAGCATAAGGCAAGTTAAATTCAAGACTTTTTAAGACTTTTTAATGCCACTGGAAATAAAAATTTAAGACCAAATTTACAAGAAACACAAGAAAACCCGCTTGTGACAACTTTACCCAAAGGTTTATTTTAACATAGACCCTTGCACTAATGATTCAAATTTTGAAAAACTTCCCATACAGGAAGAAAACAAGCAAATGACAGATATATTTTAACAATTATTTAACTGAATTCA